GATAAGCTCAAGGTGTCTTGCAACCCTATTCTTTATGTAGTATCTCAGAAACATTAGGAAGTTCCCCCTGGAAGTTCCCCCTAGGCTACATCTCCTTTCTATGTTACAAGCTCTAGTTCGATAGGAAGAGGGTGTTAAGCAATATTGGTGTGCTCTGCCTCTGGCTTTTTTTTTTTTTTTTTTATCATGGCTGTGCATCTGCTGGCCTGGGCTTTTGTTTTTGAAAGGAGGCCAGTATTAGTTTGTTTCTCATTGGGGAAATATGCAAATAAACAATTATTTTGATTTTGAAAGCAGACAGAATGATACAGACAGGTGGGTTGTCTCTGATGGCACAAGGTCTGATTAAAACATTTCTTCAATTGCTTGTGACTTAATAGGAGGCCTTGGAAATCATAGGGCCAGTGTTTCTGGATTCTCACCCTTTACACAACTGCAGCAATTGGGCATGATGGGCATTTTTATTGTATCCAATTCAACACTGATGCCGTAGTATGAATTTTTACCATGCTAGCTGGAGTACAATTGCTCATTTCTCTGTCCTCCTGACTCCTGCAACATGTAAGTTGGAGGCTTTCTCTTTTAATCTACTGAGCCCTCACTGAGTGTCTGGTGTGGCACTGCGCTGAGTAAGCTCATTTTTGAGGAATGAGCGAATAATGACAGTTGTTTATAATGCCTAATCATTTCATTGGAAGCTGCCATAGATCTTGATTAAAGTTTTCCTCTAAAATGCTTTGCACTAAATCTTTGTGTTAAAACGCAAGTCAGGGGTGCAAGGGTGGCTCAGTCAGTGAAATGGCTGCCTTCAACTCAGGTCTTGATCTCAGGGTCCTGGGATCAGGCCCCACATCAGACTTCTTGCTCAGTGGGGAGTCTGCTTCTCTCTCTTCCTTTCCCTCTCCCCCATTCTCCTACTTGCTCTCTCTCTCTCTCTCTCTCATGCTCTCTGTCTCTCAAATAAATAAATAAAATCTTTTAAAAATTAAGAAAAAATAAAACACAAGTCAGTGAAAAGCTGTGGAGGGGTGTGTGTGTGCATGTTTGTGTATGTACCTGTGTGTGCATGCCTGCCCTCACACTTGGGGGTGGGGTTGGATGGAGTGTGGAATAGAGAGAAAAAAAAAGCTAAGGAGGAAGGGAAAGAGAGAAGTAATAGTTTCTAGTACTCTGAAGAAAGGGATGTCCAGCCTCCTTGGTTATCCTGAAACAAGAGGCTCATTTCTTATTGCTGATGAATTTCACTTATAATTACAGAGCATCGGTAAGCTACATGAAGTCCCAAGGGCCGGATCAAAAATACACACCATCTGTAGGAGCTGCTTGCATTCTCTCTGAAAATCCCAGTAGCCAAGTAGTAAATCAAGTTGTGAGCAGATATAAACTGTTGCTGGTTGTCCATTAAAGTTAGCTCCTTCTCCACGATGCTAAGGGCCAAGTTTTAAAAGTGAAATGAATGGGCTGGGGCTAGATCCAGTGTGCCACTCGCTTGCCAGTTTCTGTTCTGTTGCAGAAGTGAACAACAACAGTTAAACTTTAAAGATAAACAGTTTTTTGATTGGGTTCCTAGAGAATAATGGCACTTTTGTACAATTCTTGAAATAGAGCCTACAGCCACCCCAACAAAATAGTCTCTTTCAAGATCTTGGAAATAATGACATCATAGGCAGATTGAACCAGCAATCCATTAATAGTATCCTTTGTAGAAAGCTGTCTCAGGGGAGGGACCTGGTTTAGTAAATTGGTATTGTTTACAAACATAAAATAATCGAATCCCCCGTTCTTCTACATTTCTGGAATAATCAGAGACACTTCTCACTTGGGAAACAAACATACTAACAGCTGAGCTTCCTCATAGGCCCATACCCTTTTTCCATCGGTCTTCTGAAAGCTTGCTTTGAAGCACTTGCTTTGAAGGTGAGTTAGAGATAATAAGAGCCTCCTACACTATCCTTTTGTCACCAAATCAGAATTCTCTGGAATAATTAGGAGATAAAGGTTGGTTGTGCCTGGGGTTGGGAAATAAAGCACCGAAGTAATATCAGGACAACCGAAGCAAAACCAAATTGGAAATGTCTAGGTAAAACTGAACGATACTTTGCTTCAGGTTTGCCATTTTTAGTGTTTAACTAGACAAGGATTTCTCAGGTTCTTTTCTATCCCTGTGAAAGGTGGATTCTAGTTCCTCTTACAATCCCTGGATGAGTTGAATACAGCTAAAGCAATTCCAGTTTGCTGGGCAATAGAAAGGTGTGCCATATAAGCTGGGTCCCTCACAGATGCCTGTGTTATGGACCACAGCAAGCATGTGGTGGGCAAGTTTTTGATCCGTGATTTCAAGTGTAACATAGGGGAGTATAGTTAGGGTTTTCTACACCCCTTTTTTCCCAGCCAAAAACATACCTGGTCAAATGAGGTCAGAATAATCAAGCAGCTTGAAAAGAAGCAGGGCACCTACCTGTTGAGTAGCTAGCCAGAGAGTAATTAGGAACAAAAAACACCAGTCCGTTAGCCACACCTAATTGATCAAGAACAAAGGAGCCTAGTATTTTGAATTACGTAGGTGTACTAGAACCCTGACTGGCCCAGACTCTTGCTTACCTTATTACGTAAGGTCAGCTTCATATATCATATTTCAGAGGCCATGCCTGTTTCTCCAACTTTCATCATCTTAAGTTATGTAATAGGTCATCAGAAAATATGTATTATCCCTTCTCTCTCTGTGAGATACATTTTTCAGAAACCTATCTTCTGGGGATTTCTATTTAAATCCTTAGGTGTTTGGGGTTTTTTTGGGGGGGTGTCATTGTTTTTTGCAATGGCTTTCAAATTTCATTATTTTTACCAAGCTATATTTTGTGTATCTGAGCTTTATGTAATAATCACCCCATACTCAAGCATTATTTTTAAACCCCCAAAGGTAAAACAAACAAAAACACAAAAAAAGAGTGTTTTCTGTGGCAAATTCTTCTCACTGACTAAATGAAAACCGGGAACCTGTCCACTACAGAGTACTGCTGCTGGTAAAGTCAGTGTTCAACTCGCTTTTCTTCTGGAGAAACAGTGAATTTAGAAGAACCACATTTAAAATGCAAGAGGGAATGCAGATGCATTAGCAAGAGTTCCACATATTAGTCAAAATATTTAATAGAGTATATCCTTAAAATCATAGATTTTCACTTTATCTTGTGCTATGGTTTCACCTATATAGGAAAAAGCAAGGTTAATCAGGTTGTCATTGGTGATCAAGCTTTTATTACAGAGTGTTTCCCCTTGCATGATTACTGAAAAAACTACAGAATGGGTCTTAAATTCGTTAAGATAATATAAGATGGGACACTTTGGCAAAGGAAAAGAAAAAAGATCTCTTGCCCAGATTAAGATCAAGCCAGTCATTGTTCGTTGGCAGTCTCCTGTGCAGATGGAGAAACTATTAATTGGTACTCACCTGTTCTTGAATACTTAAATAAGAGAAAATTTAGGACATGGTAAAATTTTAAAAATCTTCCACATCACACAACGTCAGAGTTCATGACTGCTAATAATAAATACATTGTACCCACTAAAGGGATAAAAATAATTATGAAAGATTCTTTCTCATTACGACAGGTGACGAGGAGACCCTGGTCGTTGCTGTACTTGTTTGTTTATAGTAAATGTTGTTGGAATAAAGTGATCTGCTAAGTCATTTTTTGATAGCTCTTATACTCCTAAATTAGCTCCAGTTAATACTTGAATTTACACAGATTCTGTTGCCCTGGGATTTGACTTGTCTTGCATTCAACCTGGAGATGCACTTGGAAGATACTCTAAAGGCATGACTTGAGATGGCAAGCCTCCACTGGGGTCCTAGCAGAGGGACTTGAATTAGAATAGGAAAACAGTTGCAAGCAGGAACTCTTCCTCGGGGAGTCCATGCTTTTCCAGGTCACTTTACCTTCCAGTGGGATGAAACCTGAACATATTCAGCCCTAAGCACAAGATACTAACAAGTAATAAATTAAGAGCAGGTAAGTTGCCAAAACCTTGACTGGTTCTTTCAACCCTGTTACTCAGGCCAATGCCCTAATTGCCCATTTCAGGACATAAAACATGACAAGGTTGAAAGTATAATATCTCCTCAGGAACTGGTCCTCTCCTTGGAGCTAGCTCCTCTTTTCTTGTGGTGACATCTGGCTCAGATTTATCTTCTACCTGCTATCTGAAGGTGGGGCATTGTTTCCCCATCAGTACACCCAAAGTCAGCTAACACTGTCAGGCCTACTAGATTGTGTCCCAGTTCTTTCTCAAAGAACAGTAGAGTGTGTTTTGTACATCAGGTACACACAGGTAGGAATCTGATGCCAGCGGCATCCCAGGTCAAAGCAGCTAACACATCCTTATTTGGGGCTATTAACAATCAACAGCCAAACTCGTGTCAACCCCAGACTTTGAAGAGGTTGTGCTTCCTGAGTGCCACCAAAATCAGAGTAGAATTTTTTTTTAAAGGTTTTATTTATTTATTTGACAGACAGAGATCACAAGTAGGCAGAGAGGCAGGTAGAGAGAGAGGAGGAAGCAGGCTTCCTGCTGAGCAGAGAGCCCGATGTGGGGCTTGATTCCAGGACCCTGGGATCATGATCTGAGCCGAAGGCAGAGGCTTTAACCCACTGAGCCACCCAGGCACCCCCAGAGTAGAATTTTTAAAGAAGATTGTAAATTGTTCATTAAGACTGTGAGTGGACAGCAGAAAATAAAAAGATTTGATGTGTTTGTGTATAGGTACTGAAGAGCCATTAATTATTACCTTCATTTTCCTCTTTGGAAAATGGTATCATTTGTCTTTAGGGAGGCATCTCCCTCCCCTTTAGAAAAGAAGCTTCCCCAAAAGGTCATCACAAAACCTGAGACCACGCGAGACCAGTGCTCTTGTGTCTAAGATGGCGGAATCCCCATTTTACTGGATTTTTTTTTTAAGGCCGCTTCTTTCTCAATTCCTGTTTTCTCCTCCTGTTTTGTAGGAGCTGTGCAATCAGTTGTCACTGAAAATGTCTGACAGTCTGGATAATGAAGAGAAACCCCCAGCTCCCCCGCTGAGGATGAACAGTAACAACCGAGATTCTTCAGCACTCAACCACAGCTCCAAACCACTTCCCATGGCCCCGGAAGAGAAGAATAAGAAAGCCAGGCTTCGCTCTATCTTCCCAGGAGGAGGGGATAAAAGTAAAGTATCAGTGGCCGGGCATTGAAAAGGGGCTAGTTTTTGTTTTGTTTTTTTTTTTCTTTCATTGTCACTTTCTTTCTTGGGTAGTCATTTCTGGAGCATTGGCTGTGTGGGGCCTGCCTGCCTGACCTTTCCGTCTACACCTTCAGAGGTTGCGTTTTGTCAGAGGATAACATGTGATTGACTTAACTGTGGGTTTACAGAAAATACATTTAGGCCGTGTTTGCATCTCACATAAAATTGAATTCATGGTGTTCAAACAAGGGAAGTCATAACAACAGCACTGTCTTGAATATATGAATAGTGACTTTCTTTCCATTAACTTAGATGGGAGTTTACAGTAATTCCTTTCCAACTGTAAGTTGTCCTTTTTCGAAATTTGAGTGTAGGTGGATTTACTTCTATATACCTTTCTGACAATAGTGAAAATTCTGAATTGTGTATGTGGGAGGCAGTCTGAGTTGTCACATGATTGTCTCTCTGGCTCTATCATGAGGTGGGAAGACACTTCTGAGTCCTTTGTTCCCTCTCTCATTCCTCCACCATCAGCCCCATTTGCACTGAGCATCACAACAATATATTGACATTTATCCATGTGTTGTTCATAAAACCATTTGTGATACTGAGGGGCTAGAGAATCTCTGGTAAATAGGGGTCAGGTTGCATTACTAAGCATAAACTTAAACATGGTTTCTATAAGTGTGACTATTGAGCTGGAAGAGGGTGAAGCAAGGACCACAGCAAACTGCCAAAAAGGAAAAAAAGGGAGTATCTTTAGAAAAGGGACACTTGCCATCCACTCCTTTGAGTTAAAACAAATAGCTTCGCAGGTCACTTACGTGGTGTGAATGAGTCCCACAATTCATACTGTAAGGAAAGCCAACACTCTTAGTAGGACCAGGATTGCCTCTTGGTATGCTTCTGTCACCGAAGAGGAGCTTTATTTCTGGTGACCCGGATGGAAAGGAGGATCGAAATGTCAAACCCCTGTATGTGAAGACAAGCAAAAGGACAATGAAGCACTTTCCACACAAGGGGTCTGCAAACACGCACAGGGAATGGCCAAAGGTGGGTTTTCAGATACCGAAGTGGGTCCCAGGGGGGGAAAAAAACTGCCCAGAGCAAGGGATGGTTTGAGAAATCTCTGGTGTGCTATGCCTAGGAGACCAAGTCCTCAGCAAGCATGGTGCAGAAGAAAGAACCATGAGACCCTGCCACTCCTGTGTTGCATCTGCCACAAGTGCAGGAAGCGACTGAAGCAGGGGACTGTGTGCCTGCCCGAATCTTCATGGTTCTTGAGACTGCCATGCTTTGGAAGCCTTGGAATAATACCACTTGTCCTTTTGAAGAAAAAAGAGCCAACCAATGCCTACATGAGGTCAGCAAAAACAGAGAAGCCGACATTTCTGTTTTGTGCCAACACCTGGGAGTGACCTCATGGTGAAACCATTGCTGCCTGACACAAACCTATGTCCAAATCTTCTCGGGGTTGGGGGAGGGGGGAGCCAAGCCAAGTTTCTGGTGTACTGGCACACAAAGAGAAAAGCCTGGATAACTCCTTCTCTTCTTAAGGAATGATTTGAACAGTGCTTTCTCGTGGAAGTTCGGAACTGAAAAAAAAAAAGAAAAGAAAAATCTTGAATTCAGAGTCCTGCTGATTCTTCCCAGTCCTTCTGGTGTCTCAGCTGCATTTACCAGTGTATCCCCTTCATGTTAAGGTTATCTTTATAATGAGTTGCTTGTCTCAGATCCTTGAGCCCTTAGATCAGTGATCCAGCCATTCAAGAAGACTTAGGCCAAACTAATGCATACATTTGTTGTTCAGAATCTCACAAAACCTCCTCTGTCTGAAGATCTTAATGCATGGGGTTCTGACACTATCACTAATGTTGTCTTCTTAATAAAAGAAGCAGTAGATAATTTAACAGAGCCTTTCAGTAATACAAGCTGACAAAAAAAATCTGGCTAGAAATGGTGACATAACTTTCAACAGTCTGTTCCAAACAGAGTCTTTAGCTCAAGAAAAACCTATAGATGAGGCGGAACATTTGGTCCAAGAGCACTCATTGGCTGAAGTTGAAACTGAACCTGTTGATGCCGCTAGAGGATGACTCTCAGGAAGCTTCCGGTACCCCAGGGGTGATTATCATAAGTGATGATGAAGATACTTGGGAAGCTATGGGACTGGAGACAAACACAATTAGAAGCAACAGGTGCAGAGTCTTCAGAACATGATTAAAACCTCCCCAAGAAAGTAATAGAAATTGATACATTTATACATCAAATCGTAACCTGTTCAAAGATTGAGTGGTTTAGAAGAACTCTGTAAGGAGGTGCTGTGATGCCTTCAAGATATCACTTTGGAGAGAAAGCATCTTCCGCAGAACTTCAGTCATCAAGGAGAACCATTTAATATTGTTACTGGACAGCTGATAAGCTGCCTTCAGACCAAGTGTGAATGATTTCATTGAACTCTATAAAGAGGTGCTAAGAGTCTTATTACACTATCATATTAGGAAAAAAGCACCCACAGAAGAGCCTAAATCATGAAGGAGGGTCATTTAAGTATGCGTAATAGGCACTTGGTAGGCCACTTTTAGACAAAGCTTGAACAATTCAATTTGAACTCTGTCCAGAAGTGCTAAAGTATCTTCAGGAAAGACTTGAGGAGACAGCATCTTCAGAAGAGCGAGTCATGAAGTTTTACCACTTCAAACCACTTGCTTGGATAGGGCAAAAATCACAAGCAAGTTGTTCCAATTTCAGGATTGGATTCCAATGATTTGAGAGAATATGAAAACCCATGATTTGAGCTAACAGTGCACCCCTGTTCATCATTTCACTGTCACCCCCATTGTCCCACTGCCATAATGAGCACGACATCCTCATCACCTCTGGAAATCATCTTAGGATCTAAATGGAAATGCTGTAGAGCCTATCATTTTTACAAATTTAAGCCATGTAAACTCTCATTATTCTCTTTATGTAATGTGCTGTTACTGTTTTGTTTTACTGTGCAAAAAGTTATCCATGAGGGCTTTCAAGAGTTCGCATGTGACCTCACTCTCCCGGCCCCCCCCCCTTTTTGGGAAACCTCCTAAAATCATACTTTCCTCAGCTAAACTCTACTACCTTGAGGGTTGCAGGGGAAGTTGACCCTCAGAGGTAAGGAGGGGTCACTGTTTCCCTGTTTCTGCCTCTTGGGGACTCCTTGGGTTATAGCATGATCAGTTGCAAATGAATGGGAAGAGTACTGGATTTGGGCTCTGAAGAACCTGGATTGGAGTTCAGCTCAGCCACTGATTATGGTGACTTTGGGCCAGTCACCGAGTTTCAACACCTGTTAAATGCAGGGAGTGATACCCGGGCTACCTCACAAGTTATCTTCTGGTAGCCAAATGCAATTCTAAGTATTAGAGAGCTGTTAAAATTAAAAAGTGCTACATTATGGTGAGATGGTATTACATTTGTATCATTCTGGACCTTAAAAACAAAACAACAAAACAATCAGATTTTTTAGAACTCTTGTTTCTTTCTTTCTTTCTTTTTTTTTTTTTTTTTGGTTGAAGTACTTTTGTGTCTAACTAGAACTTACATGTTGATTATAGAAAACTTTAAAGAAAATGAAAATTGCCCATAATTTTACAAGCTAAAAATAACCACTGGGTTGGTACTTTTTCTTCTCATCCTCTTTCTTCATATCATATGGAACTTGTTTATCAATATATAAAAAGATGGAAACTAAAGACAAACAGAAAAAATAAAAGTAGCCCATATTCACAAATCTCAGAAATGATAACATTTTAGTGGATTTCTCTCCAGATTTTTTGTGGTGTTATTATATATGGATATGGATATAGATATAGATATAGATTATATAGATATATATTATATATATAAAATCCTCATATACAGTTTTTTACATAATTAAAATCCTAATAGTGCAGTTTTATTTTTTCATTTTTTACTTAACATGCACTTAAAAGTTTTATCACAAATATTTTCCTACATTTTTAATAAGTTTTCCTAAATACCATTTTTAATGGTGTGTAATATTTCACCATACAGTGGCATCATGGTTTATTTGACCAGTTATTTTGTTGGATATTTGGGGTCCTTCCCAAATTTTTGTTATAAATAACGTTATATTGTCTATCTCTTGAGTTAAATGAAAGCAGAGATTTTTGCTTGTTGAAGAAATCTTTTTAATAGCTACATTCCATTGACCAAATGGAGTTCAAGAGATAAGGCAGAAACAAAATAAAAAGCAGCGGCTGTAATTTCCAGATTGAGGATCTATCTTTGTTAGAGACTGTTTCAGGAGCTGGAGCTTGGCATTAAAATGAATTAAGAGAGACCTTTTCCCACCATGATACTTTATCATAGAAAAGTTTTCAAGATGTAGAGCAGGAAAAGGACATCCTGAACAAGTGCTTTGATTTGATTTTACGGTCCCCGAGAAGGGTGAGACCAATCAGGTTTCTCGGCTGCTAAAGAGCTTGGAGCCCGATGTGTGGCCCATGCAGAGCACTCATAATGGGACCGTACGGTATGTATGCACTTTGTATTGGCTTTCTTTCAGGCGCCATTTTATGTTTCTGTCTTTGTACTGGGTTTTTTTTCCCTTTTACTTTTCTTACCTACTTTGAATTTATGCTATCATACTGTATTTTGTGTCTTCTTGTAAGCCGCCTTATACCCATTTGGGAACAAGGAGGGGACTAAGTACATGGATGAATGAATCTGAGAAACTACATCGATAAATAAACCAGTAGGGCAAATGCAATGAAGCAAATGAATCAGCCAGGACCCTGCAGACGGCATAGGGCCTCTAAAAATAATCAATGTTAAGGATGTGAAGCTTGGAGGAACATGTGGGAGAGAAGCAGGTGAGGCTGCATTTGGAGGTGACATGTTCTGTGTGACGTCTGTGTCTTCTGATGCGCGCTTTATGTGTCCCGTGTCATGTGCCACACTGGAGCATTAGGCGGGTTTCAGA